TTGCCGTGAGAAGTTCCTGAAATTCTTCCATCGTTTCTCCCCCATGAGCCATCAGTTGTTCTTTGGACATTCCGCGGAACCGTTCGTTTAGTCCAATCTAATATTCGTATTAGACGACATAGTAGCCCATAAAAACGATTGATCATTCGTTGACTTGCATACTTTCCATTTCATCTGCTTCCTCATCTTCGATATATGCCTATTCATTTCATGATACATTTCTTCATAGTAGGCGCCAAGCGCTACCGACACGAAACACAGGAGAATGAGTCGCTGCATCTTGAGTGCTCAACGTTATACGATGAAACGTATTTTCTAACCTTATATAACGAGAACACAGCGTAAGAACAGACAGGTGATTTCGACGCAGATGGAAGTCTCAACTTTGAGTGGCACAGTAAGCACGTTATATCGCTTAATCGAAGGCAAAAAGTTTAATAATTCCATGCACATGTGTCCTTCACCGCTTTGCTTGACCAGAAATCTCAACATGACCGAGGCACAATCTATTTACCGTCCGTAGTGCAATATTTTACAGTAATGCGTCTGAAAGGAGTCAAGAGTTACCACGTCATCATTGATCGTGCATGGGAGATTTCTTTTATGCAGAGTGGAAGAGAGAGTGTTCACGTTTTCCGGAGCTGATTGCTTGTAGCATTCAAAACAATAAAACCAATGTGCCGACACATGCACGACTGCCATCCTTGTTATACAACCACGGCAACGCGGCTTCGTAAATTACTTTTCACCGTGTAACCATGGTATAATATTTAAACATTCAGAATGCCACCATTCTAGCTAGCTGCCCCAGAACCTCGCGGTGTCGCTTCACATTTACTGTATCTTTTATTACCGTATAGTCGGAATTACGTTGGTGGTCGAACAAGCACTTGTTCAGTCCAACTCAGCTACGCGTCTTAAATGGCATGAAGCGTTGACTTTTTCGAATGGTCCCCTTAGGCGACTAAAAGCAAGAGGCTGGTGCAATAATGTTGTGCAGCCTTGCGCAATGGCAGCCAACGGTCCTATATTGCCGCGGTGTTGCTGTTAAGATAACTACTATGCTTTGATTTGATATCAGTGGTTGAAAGATGATATCTACCGGCAGAATCAGCAAGCTGTCATTCTTTCTATCTGCCTCGGAACTTCGGAGCGTCCTCTATTTCCTGCACAGTGAAAAAATTTGATCAGTGTTCATGAAGTACGAGGCATTTGCAAAAACGTGACCCAATGATCTGTCTCTGTATTTTTCTCACAATTTTAGTTTTTAAATATTTGACTATTTTTTATCGCTCTTAACTGATGTCTCCAAGGCCTATCGGCAGTCGCTATGGTCCGTGGCCAAAACAGCTCACCTGAACACACTGCTTTGATTCTGCATGTAATCCAACGGACAGCATCTGAGAAATTTCGCATATGCTCCAGCATTAGCGGAAACGGAACGATAATTTGTTTAACTGAACAATCAGATTCGACGGTCGTTAATCTTTTCGAATTGTCATTAGACAGTCTCTCCAATCTTTCGATCCTGTGCCACTGTCTCAGTTTCGGCAGTAGCAAACGTGAGCCTGGAGCAGGCATTGCCATGACCCCTGTCAGAGGTCATTCTACGCCATCCTGAGGCCTTCGATCGATAGGTAGGGCAATTGTTTAGCCTTGATTTCTGCAAGCTTTGGGGAATCATGCCAAAACCAAATTTCAGTCAGTGGCAACTAAGGCCTTTTCGTATATCTGATGAAGAAAAGGAAGAATTAAGAAAATTGCCATGGTTACACTTGGTATTGATTATTACACTGGGTTGTCATCTATCAGGCAAGGTACAAACATAAGGAACTCTGGAATCAGAAAGAATATCCGTACACCTAGTTTATTCTTGTGTAACATAAGAAGAATCCCAGACTGTGCCATTCATCTGCAAGCTACAGACTTGGTACCCGTTTCTGAGCTCTTTGTGCAATAAACAGTTAATTAATTGTTTAAGGGATTCGGGCTTAAAACGAAAATTATTCCTTCATTAACCTGGGGTTACCTCCGGTGTTCTAATCCGGCTTCTTTGTTTAATATGTCGTTCAGAAGAACATGGTTGTTTGCATCTTCTAAAATTCCAGCTCGTTTTTATCAAAGAACGACCGGAACTCAATCACATATACGTCATGGCTTGTTTTACACTAATATTCAGAGACGGACATGCTAACTCTCTCATCTTCCTCATCTTCATCTTCCATCGCCGCTTCTCCTTTCAGGTCGCGGAGGCAGACGCGTCAGACAGTGCTTCCA